CTGGCTCCCTGTTGGAGACCACCACTCTGCTGACTGCTGATGGCTGAATCAATGCGGTTACAGAGCAGAGACCTCTGGTGGGAGATGGAGAGAAATAATAAATAAGAGTGTGAGAAATCTTAATAACACTCCTAAAAAAGAGAAATGGTTTGTCACAACTCACACTCAGCAACACGCTACTCCTACTCAGTCCTAATGCAGATATCTGTCATTACTGCCAGTTAAACACAGAAAATAACATCACATGAAATACCAGAATAACATTTGGAGATTCAGTGGGCAGACATTTTATCTCCAGACACAAATTTTTTCTCTCCTCTTTAAAGTCACAGTAAAAATTCTAAGCCTGGAGTAGATTTAATATATTTTGAGGACAGAAGCAATGTACCATAGTCCTCTAGCATGACCTTCCTATAACACAGTCCAGTAATTTCATCTTAAAATTCCTACATTAAAGCCTAAGGCATGTCTCAAAACTGGACTGTGTATCTTAGAAAGGCAATATCTATTTTTGAAAACCAAATTATCTTTAATGCACTGGTTCCTTCCTTTTTTCCTAACACTGGTTTTACTCAAGCAGTGTGCTTTTGCAATTACACTTTACTACAACAGCAAAATGATGACAAAAAATGGCCCAATTATTTCCTTCATTTTATCTGAAAATTGCTCAGCTGCTCCTACATAAGCCATGAAACCACAGACGTCAGTGAACCCAGACCTGTACACAAAAAAACCCAACATCATAACTAGCTTCAACTTTGTTCTGTTACCAGAAAATGAAATGAGTAAAGAAGCCAAAAAACTCAAGAAGTTTCTTCCATGGGATTTCAACAGTGTAGTCAGCTACAGTTTTGTTTCCACCCTACATCAGGATCAGTTTTACTGTCGTGATAAATGGGCTGCAGATGAAGGACTTCTTCCCCAGTTTGGTTTGTTTCAGAAGTCAAACAAAATCATAAAAAAAATAAAGATGCACCAAGACAGCAGTAAGAGATTCTCAGCAAAACCTAACAGCTGGCATTTTATTAGTTTTACTCACCAACTGGCTGCTCTTGAAACCTCTGCAAGAAACAAACACCCTGCACTATGGATTTTGAATCTCCTCAGAAACTGGAACCAGTGAAAACACAGAGGAGCTGCCTGACTCCAGCCCAACTGCCTTAGCCTCAACTCTGAACTTCTTTCTGGGGCTGTTATTTCTTGCATATATATATGTATATGTATATACAAATGTCATATTCTCTCCATAAAAAGCTGATACTTAGCTTATAAGTAGCCTAGAATTTCTGAGAAACCAAAGATAAGTTTGAATTCTTCATTACTTCCAAAGAGAGATGAAAGAAAACTTTTCTTAAGCCTCCAGCGCAAAAATGAACAGAATGAAAACCAGGATGTTGATTGTTAACACTGACTAAAATGAAAAAAACCTGCCCAAGTCAGCTGTACACAGAAGGTGGTCAGATTCCTTTTGGTGTTGACCTAAACTGGTTTTATTCTGAAAGTCTTTACAATTGCAACATCTGCAGATCTCATAGTTCTCATTAGGCTTTGCCTTCAAGAGCCCTACTGGGCTACTGAAAGTTGAGGATCACAGTTAGCTACACTGGCTCTTAACAATCCACTGGAATCTTTTGTCCCCAGGAGGCCTGCAACAAGATAAACTAAAAGCTCAGACTGCCATATCATGGAGCACATTCCACTTCAAGTGTCTTGGATCACAGACCAGTTAAAACCACATCCTTGAGTAGCTTATCTCCAATCCTGTAAGCTGCACATCTTCAAGGTTAATGCATTACTGTAATTTTTCTTTATATTTCAGCAATTTTTAAACATGAAATTACATATATATAAATATATGGTAGAATCAGTAAGTAAAGATACAGAATACTGAAAAAACCATCACACTGGTCTCACAACTGAGACTAAAATGGAAGCATCTGAAGCATCATTAACATGCACTTGTATTTTAGTCTATATATTTAAGGACTATACAACTCATTGAAAAATGAAACATCAGAGAACTGAAGAACAATGTCAAATATATCTTCTAATCTTCCTCATTAAGTGTCCCCAGTCATATTTCAAAAGATTCGAAATATTTATAACTTTTGTAAACAATTGGTCATTAATTAATCATTTTATACAGAACTATTTCCACAAGTTGTTTTATTGGTGCAGTAGCAATTAAAAAAAACAAAAGCTTAACAGAAGTTTAATTTCATCCATGAATGATTTAACAAAGGAGAAATGCAGATATTAACTGCACAGTTTGTGGTCATTTCTGAAGGAGTGGATGTGCAACAGAAAGGGAAATGTATAGAAAACAGAAAACCTGCAGAGAAAAATGCAACAAACAAATATATTCAGTGTAGACTAAACATTCTGTCTCTCTCTGGACAAAAATGATCCCAGCTATTCCCAAACCAGGAATTTCCTGCAACTATCTCATGTACAGCACAGCAAGTGAATTGCATGATACGTACTGACTGAATAGCAGTCACCAGGGACAGCTCAGATCTGATGGGGACATGACTCTACAAACACACTGGCAGTTTGAAAACAGAAGTAACAGCAAGGGATGGGAAATAAAAATAGTATCTATTTATGGTTCAAATATTCAGTTTAAAGTGGACCAGGAGTGGGGTCTAGCAAGAATTAAGGTTTACTATCATTAACACATCTGGACAGTGGCTGCACAAAAAGCCTGGCCAGAAGATCCAGTGAAGAACCTGCTGCAGGTCTGGAATAGATAGAGAGCAGGATGTGTTTCTCAATTGATCCAAACCTGGTAAAGTTCAGAAAACATCATAAAGGGCAGGCATGTTTTTCATCTCTCTGAAATTAAACAATGCACCAAAGAGGTAAAAATGCTTGCAAGCCAATCTACCACTAAACTTGTATCATCTTCCGCAAGTTCCTAAGATAATTGGTTTTATCTGTATTTTAAGAATAATTTCCTTTTGAATTAGATATAAATGTATTCATTAGCTTTCATCAGAACAATCTGCAGTAAAAACTTCAAGTACAGCTAGATTAATGTCAGGATATACTTCAAGATTTACAAAATATAAACCAGAAGTTGATTAGACGTAGTGGAGCTTAAGAAAAACTGAATCCAAATGCCCATTAGCCAAATAAGGTATTGTCCTGTCTTAATTTCCACTTTTTATATGTTTTCATGTGCTCTGCTCTCTCAGTACTGTCAGTGGTGACGATAGGGAGGTGGCCAGATAAGGAAACAGTATTACCATAGCTGGATCAATCTTTATTTCTGTAATATATACTTTTCTGATTAATAAAAAAATCAACCCTCCAATGTAAATGAATACATGGTATGTATTCATTTACATTGGAATCTTATTGACAGCTTCATTTAAACAGGAAAAGTAAGGAACATGTGGAAGTTACTGAAAATTCTATTGTATGATCTGAATATACTAAGTATTTCTGTTAGAATTTCTGACAGCAGCCTCCTCTTTTTGACCTCACATTACCTGCATTCCAGAGACAGAATTTTTTTCTTTTTTAAAGAAATATAAATTGATGCACAGTTCACTGAGGACCTGATTTCCAGCTCAAGGCTGGTAAGCCTATTCCACTAGCAATTCATGGAATGTAATGGCTGGTGTCATACAGAGAGTCAAACCATGATCTCATGGTCTCTTCTGGCCTTTACTCAAGGACTTATTACACAATTTTGCAGCTAATGTCCTTGGAAGTGAACTCTATTTCCATTTTAATGCAGAACTATAAGATGACGCTGAGGCTATACACACATCTGACTGAAAGTTGGAAGGTAGCAAAAAAGAACACCCAGGATAATAAAAAGCAGCTGCAGAAGAAAAGTTTTAAAGTAACAGCGCACACTTAAAGTAAGTGTGCTAGACAATACTTTCATAAAGTTAGGCAAGAAAAAACCCGGAGTGTTTACAGGGCTGCAGAACTTTTTAGGGTTAACTGTGCTTCCATCCAGAAAGCAAGGGAGCGAGAGAGCCCAGAGAGTGAGCAGCAGACAGACAGACAGACACGCTGCGGTGCACAGAGACAGAATGTTATAGTGTGAACAGTCATTTCCAGGACCTGCACATCCTGATACAGCTCCAGGGAGCACACATGGTAGTTCTGGAGCAGTGAATCAATTAACCCTCTCTGTCTCATTTCCAGCCAAACCCCCCACCCACTCCCTTCCCTGTTTTCCAAACACCGGAGCTGGATACACTGGAAGGAGTCAATCAAGGAACAAGGGTAGCAGCGAACTGTGAGCTTTGCTCGTGAACAAAGAGAGAACTGCACACAGACTCTGCTGATCATCTAAGCAGAATCAACAAAGAATGGAAATTAAAGGACAGCAAAAGCGAACACAGCCTTATTTCTATCCTTTTTAACGTGTGGTAAGAATTATTCTTCTCCTCCATTTCAGAGTTGGAGAAAATACCTGGATGAGAAGAAATACAGTTTTCCCAAAATAGAAATTCTTAATCTTCGTGATAGAAGAAATGCGCTTACAAAAAAGCACACAAAGAGACAAGCTTGAGAAATATTATAAAAGCCAAAAGCAAATGAGCAACTTGTTTTCCAGAAAGCAGTGAAAAATCTCAACTTCCACCATACGACGAAAAAGAAAATTATAAAGGATCCTCCTGGATGCAAAGTGAGCTCTACTAAAATGCAAGAGAAAGAGGTAAGGCTTTCTTCACCTGAAAACTGCAACACATCAAATCTTCTCGGTAACTGAGCATTTGTTCAGCTTAATGTCGGGACAGCTGTTTGAGTCCCTGTTTGAAGGGGGAAATGCAAGCCTTCAGTCTTTAGCAGAGTTGACAGAGAAATACAGAGGAAGAGAAAGGGCTGTGCTTAATAAAAGCCTTGCTCACATTACAAAAACAGGAGTTTTACTCACCCTGACCCTTTCAAGTAATGAGTAAATTTAGATGTCTCAGTTCGATAAATCTCTATGGTCCCCTTGAGACTGTCAGCAGTGTTTTATTGTCTGCAGCTTCCTGACCCTCACCTGATAAATTAGGAAGTGCTGAGATTAAAACGGAAACCTCATACATAATTTCTGAAGATATTTTTGGGGTTACCCTCTAAGGAGAAATAGGATTCTTAATAAGGGGAAATATGGGAACTGCTGTCTGCCTACGCACATGCTGCTGGAGACTAGACACTCGGGAGAGGAGGAGTTGCACATACACAACTCGAGCATCTGCCTCTGCATCAGTTTGTACTCAGAAGGAGCAAATCTACATAGACTGCACCTAAAGGGAATTGTTTTGCATTCAGATTCATCTATCACTCTTTACTGCGGCAGGAAAAGAAAAAAAAAAGGAAGCTAATCACTGCTTATTTTTGACAGCTACTGATTTTTGCCTTTTAATCTTCTGAAATCTGAACATCGCTACAAAGGGGAGACCAGACCCCTGAACCCTACCAACCAGAGATGGACACAAGGCAGGACTTGCATTTTTAAAACTCTTTTGCGCCCAGCAAGGCATAGAATAAAAAAATTGGATACCAGCTCGGCCATGGTTACAGGATCTCGAAGTAGCAGATGACCAGTTCACTATACTGACCATGCTGGCCCATCTTCAGGACCATCCTGGACCAGAGAGCAACAGAGAACTCTTACACCGTACGCAGCTCCTGCACAAAAGACAGCCCCTGAAGACATTCCTCTGCACACAAACATGTCCCATCCTTTACACTCCTTGAACGGATCTGGAGCTGGCAATGGATCTTTGTCGCCTCTCTCAGTAACAGGAGCACCTAAGCAGGACTTCCCAAGTGAGGAACAAGGAAACAAAGTGCACTGGGCAGCATTGCTGATCCTCCTGCTGATAATCCCCACTATTGGGGGGAACATACTTGTCATTCTGGCTGTGTCCCTGGAGAAGAAGCTGCAATATGCTACCAACTACTTTCTAACGTCCTTGGCGGTGGCAGATTTGCTCGTGGGTCTGTTTGTGATGCCAATTGCCCTTCTCATAGTATTATTTGGTAAGTGCAGTATGTTTGTTTCATCAGGTTTGTATATGGGGTACAATTCTGGGAGGTCTAACTGAAACAGAAAAGTTGTTTGCTGTCCAGCATTACAATTTTAAAAATCACTTGGATGATGGCTGCTAAATCTTCTCTCCCTCTCACCTTAATACAACCTAATGTTGTCTTATGGGAAGCACATCTATGTGGATATTTTTTCCTTTGAAACAAACCATTCAAAAATCATCCAAGACTTAAAAATATTCAAATGTGAGCTGAAGCACAGGGAATTTTTGTACAGTGTAATATAATTTTTAACAACATCAGCACAATGCTGGTATTTGTTGTATTATATTACACTAACTGCAGGCAGTATTCCCTTAAAAAATTTGAAACCAAGGCTAGGTATCTGTTTAGTACACTGAACAGGTTTTGAACTTCCTATGAGTAATGCACGTGATTTTACCAGAGTATTAACTCCACAAGCAGTCATATATTTATATGGTCAATCAGAGTCAGTCCCTAGCACTATCAGTGACAACAAACTTTATCAGCAGTGGTTTCAGAGAAACTGATCTCCTCCCACTCTGAGGAAAGCCACAGGTTCATAAGACATCACAAGTAAATCATCTGTCAATTCAAGGAAGCCTCAGTCCATGTACCTAATGTTTGAGATACGTATTTGTCATTTCGTCTGATTCATATGAAATAAAATAGGTCTTTTTCACTTGAACAAACATTGGATGTGACATTTTCTTTCTTGTTAGTCCTTACAGAACAAGCATGATTTTTCCACAGCCTCTCAGCTCCAGCTTTATTTCAGATACTGCTTCTGACAACTAATTGCAGGCAACTCCATGGCAAAGTCTCTCTCTTTTACGGCTAAATTTTCTTTAAGAATACATTTTAAATTGTTTATTTTGATATCATAAATGGAAAAAAAAATCAATGAGACAGGTTTTTCAAGAAACTTAATGATTTATATCATTACCTTCAAGGTACACTGGGTCCTAAGAAAGGCTGCAGGAGTTCATTTTTCCTAGGCTAGACTCTAAGAGTTGCCTGAGCAACAAGCAAACACAATCAAACTGTATTTCAGAAAGGCCATCAGTAGTTTCTGTACAGAAAACTGGTATCACTTTATTAACAAATGTGTTTATTCATTCATTAAATGCCTTGAGAATTTCTGTGTGTTACAGACTCCTTCTCCCTAAACAGAATTGTGAACAGGAGGCCAGAATTCAGCGCTGAGATCATAGAATAGCAATTTTTTTTTTCCAAAGCAATCGTTTCTAAAAGAAAACAATGTATGTAACTGAGACTGTGATTTCTAACTCAAAAAACCCAGTCACTTATAGAAAACCTTGGTATGTCATGTATGTGCAGGTGAGTGGGAGGCAAGAAGCAGATATGCATTTCCATACTTGCACATGGATGCTGTAACTGCTTAGTGCCTGCCACAGGTCTCACTACTAACAATAAAGCCACTAGCCATAAAAAGTACTAGTGTTTACTAGCAATCAACATAAAGGGAAGGCAAATCCTGGATTTTGTGGAGTAGGTTTTTGGTAGTGGTGGAGTTTTCTTGTTTTGGATTTTATTATTATTTTCATTCTGCTAGACTAACAAATATTTCCTTTATAACTTCATAAGGACTCTATTGCTCTTTAATCTCTCAATTAATCCACTGCTAAACCCTGGTTACAACAGTTTAAAGCATGCTAGGAATCTCAATTCAAAAGTCAAACAAAAATGTCTTTCATGGTGCAGGAAATTTACCAGAAAGTAGTAAAATCAATTACAATTAATTAAGACCACAACCCGCCTTCCACACAACAGCGGTTAAAACTGAAATTTCTTGCACACAAGTCTCTCTTTGGCAGCCAACCAGAAAAACTGCTTTGCCTCTTCACCAAGTGGGAGAAGATGCTGAGGTGTTTATAGAAGTTCAAAGCATGAGCAAAACATGAGGAGTTACTGGAATGGAGACAGAACAGACATTAAATACATAACAAGTCTAAATCTTGAAGCTACATTAGCCAGACAACTGTGTGAACAAAGAAGTCTTTGACAGCCAGACAGCAGACTGAATCCAGCCTCCTGGCACCTCCACACAGGAATGTTTCCATAATAATGAAAGAGCTGGGTGCAGCTTCTAGATACAGAGTACAAATATTATGCTTCCGATTTGGGATTGATATCTAATTATGTGGAGAAGATTTGAAGGAAAAGGTGTGAACTGAAGTGCAGTCACATTAAGATCCTGACTGTACAAACTAATGTGTCACAGGGTGTTCAAAATCAAAATCTGCTACAGGCATTGGCTCCACACCCTGAGAAAACATTCACCAAAAAATCTTCAGAAACTGACTGTATCTGTAATAAAGAGCTGCCCCTTTTAAAAATAAGTAAATAAATTAATCTGTAAACTCACTTGCAGGTGTAATGCCATGAGCAGCACATTATTTATTCTCAGCAGAGCAACCAAAATGTACTCGGCTACAAGCATACACAGCAATTTTAATTTAGGAGTGTGAATGTCAGAACACATAAACATTTCATAGCTTTTACAGCTTGCTAAATATTTCTCATTTCTTAAAAAAAAAATGAGGGCCCACTAGGAGATAACTGCATACTCTGAAATCTAGCTTTCAAAACAGTTACCCAAATTTCTAACATTCAGAACTACTGAAATTGAATAGTGAAATTAGCAAACAAACTTGAGAGATATTCCCATTTACAAAGCCTGCAGCAGGAAGAAGTCTGATGTCCACCGCCTGGTGGCAATGGGCTACTTGAAGACAACACATGTACCATCTTTTACAATACATTCTCTTCTCCTGATAATCATCCACTTAAAATCAGAAAGCAATGCTGATTATCCTAGGTTGCAAACCATTATTTTAATCTATCACAAGCAACCAGTCCTAATCTTCCCCCATTACTGATGATAACCACAACAAATTTTCCCTTCTTGCTTGTGCAAACTGCCAGAGAAAACTTTAATCAGGGACTACTCTCCACAATCTCAAATCTAAAGATATCAAGGGTTTATCAGAAAGTAAGTCTAATTGAAAAAAATACTTTGATTAAAAATCCTAGAGAACAGCCTGGAGACAGCAGGCCTTGGCAGCCCATGGAGCCAAGCACATGAACACAAAGCACATGCAGCTACACACACACACACCAGTGGGCAGCTTGAAGCTTAGGCTTAAAGGAGATGGTGACTGAAAATATCCATTGCCATCTCAGCAAAAGTATCATTATATAACAGCCACAAGGCCCTTTACAGGTAACACATTTCTGCAGCCCTTAGGACAGAAGAAAAAATGGTTTCCAAGTCTATTTAAAGACTTCTCTCAATCATACTTATACATGTACACAAGCTGTGCTTTCTCTCAAGCTTTCTGAAAATATTTTGGCTTACAGCAAGAGCAGCTCTTCTATACTGTACTTTGTTTTAAGGATTACACATTTCTAAGGTATTTCCTATAAATAAAGCTTTTCTTAAATAAAGATTAATCAAGGGTAGACAGTTGCGGTAAAAGCTCATTTTACTACTCCAAAGGTGCAAGACAAATCTTAAAGCATGTATTCGGTCTTATTTTGACTCAAAATAAGCAAAATCCTCAACAGCAGCACTGCTGCAATGCTGGGAGGATCTGAGGCAATTTGTAGGAAGAAGGAATTTCTTTTTAACTGATACCACCTGACAGCTGGAGAAACCAGTCAAATTTTCAGGCAGGTATCTTTGTCGGGTAACCAAGGCATTTAAAAAAAAAATTCAAAAAATCCAATCCCTATTAGCTCCCAAGAAAAATGGGAGTGGAGAATCTCTGCCCTGTAAATGCTCTGGTCTGCTTCCATAATGTAGATCTATAGTAGGAGAATCAGAATAGTCCAAACTGAGCATGACCTGCTAATGTCTTTGTATCACTACTTGGCAGGACATTTTACATTCTGAATTATAAAGCAGGACAGCAACCAAGCAGGTCATCATCACGTTCAAGGGTCAGAGATGCTTTCTGATCCATGAAAGGAAATTAATATTCCATTATTTCCTTAATTCTAAATGAATAAACTAGGCCAACAGTGATAGACAGCACCACCATCACCAGAAAAGCACAAGAACTCAGTCCAGAGCATTGCCTCTAACAATGGGCACAAAGCTTCTAGCTTTGATTTGTAGGTGTAACCTACAAATCAAAATACGTTACAGCAATATACATCACAGAATGAATCCTAGATAATTGTGTGACTCTTCTGGACTTCAAAGTATCAGATCCATGATATTTGTTTCATTTAAATAATAACCATCATCTTCAATTCTTACCAGTTACAGCATTTAAAGTTTACTTTGATTTTGTTTGGACAAAAACCAGCATCTCATACATACAAACAGAGCAGAACATAATGCTATAATCATGAATGTGATAACCTACTGCCTTCTGCACCCAGTACAAAAATAGACAAAAATAAAGAAAATAGAAATCTTTCTCTGTTCAGTTGCACTTGTCAACTAACAAAAGCTCTTACAAGTCAAAAATGTACAAGATTATTTTGTATCAGATCCCTGTTTAAATGTATCTTTATTTCAAAGAAGTAAAAGGGCCTTTTGTTGCAAAATATTTTCTTCTGCAAACAGTCAATTAACTAAAAAAGGAGATAGTTCTTACACTGGGATTCTCCAGAACCAAAGCAGTTATAATCCAGGGAATGGCATGCAAGTACTATCCAAAAGAAGTATTAGCTGTTCACTTGAAATCCAGCTGTGTCATCTGCTATCCTTCAAGTTGTAGAACACACTTTCTATTGTTCATGTTTTTTCTGAACTAATCCTTTATCACAAAGTCAAAAGAGGCTGTCAATTTTCTGGAGTGAGCAAAAACATTTCAAGCCCATCAAATCAGTTACTCCTTTTAATTGGGTTATTTTAAATTACAGCTGATTATATGAGCCACAATACATTTTGGTTTTTCTTTTGAAAGGAAATCTGTTTCAGAAATACACCATACCTTACTGCCAGCTAAAAGTCTAGGCATGAAAATTAAAGATGAGTAAATGTTTCATAATTTATTAATTACAACTTTCTCATACCTGTCTGACAGACTAAGTTTTTTGAAGCATAATTTCAATGATAGAATCCATTTTAGGAAATAATTATGGTAGATAATAAAATTATCTGGTTAATAAATTGAAAGCAGACTGCCTCTTCCCCTTCTGCCTCACTGCCTACGCCATCCTCACCTGGAGTCCTCTGCTTTGGGGATGGCTGAGGTTCAGTTCAGGGCTCCATCCCTCCATTCCTTGTTTAACACAGAAGGTTTCCCAGCATAGGTAAGAGTGCTGACAAGTACTATGTTGCTATGTTTGTCTCCATAAAATTTTCCACCCACTGGAGTTTATATTTCAAGTCAAAGCATCACCGTTATCGTCTCCATCTATCAGTCATGTTACGAAAAAATGTTTTAATCTCAAATGACTGCAATGTTAGTACACTGATAAGACTGAACATTACAAAAGTCCAGCTCATTTGGCGTTCTCAGCACATAGGTCTATTTATGCTGATCAAGGAAATTAAAACCAATCTGATTTATTAGAAGTGATTTATTAAAACCAATCTGATTTATTATTCTTTTCCCCCCTAATCGTCATTAAACAAATAACTGATTTCCCTGGCAATACTAATAATGTACTTACTGACTGAGTACAGCTGAAGTTTATAAGGGAGGAAAATACATTTAGTAGATTAACTTCTACCATGAGAAACAGAAAAATCTTTCTTGTTCACACATTCTCCCCTGGGACTCCAGAACATCCTTATAGATACACAATACTAAAAGTGCACCTCAAACTGAACACTGCTTGCACTGGATTGCAATAGAAGCTACTTCTGAGTGAAAATAGACCAGCTAAAAAATAATCAGAGATCCATTAACATTCATTTGGTATTGCAGACATTGATAGGGGAGACACAGGTCTCACAAATATTAGCCTTTTGGAATTCTGAACACTACTAAACCTTTCTCTTGGCCAGTGCAGTTGACAGACCCTATGTTTGCTATAAAGATTAATATTAAGGACAGACTCTAAGAAACAGAATGTCAGACTTAAAATCCAAGCCATGGCTCTTGGGGAAACAAAAAAAAAAAAAAAGGACATGCACAAAACTGTTAAATTTTTATAAAATCATTACTGACATAGAACAACTCTAACTCTGTCACATTACTGTTCAAGTGTATATGGCCAAGTGACACAGCAAACTCATTTTAAAGATGTGTGGACAAGATTCTTCAATATCACTCCTAAGATCCAACAGCGGTTCTACAATGACTAACTAATACTTAGGTTATGACTTATCTCCTCCATTTAATATAACCTTGAATCACAAGACTATCAAGCAGAAACAGCTGAATCATTTAACAGTAGGCTCACAAGAACCAAACAGTCATGGTCCATTTTTAATAAACTTTTTAATCTAGAGTCCTTACCACAAAAGGACAAAAAGACAGGGAAAGGTTTATAGCACACAAGTAGCCTGATGAACATGATGGCAGCAACCATGCCACTTAGGAGCTAATTAAAATATAAGACAGAACCCATTTGAGGCAGTGACAAAGCTCAGTTCCTGTAGTACTATGAACTTCTCAAAAATATTGATGCCACAGGAAAATGACACACTGAAAGTTCTCAAAAAGCTTAGATTCTAATGAGTTTTTTGTTCTCTTTCAGACAATACCTGGCCTTTACCAACTGCCTTGTGTCCTATCTGGCTGTTCCTTGATGTCCTCTTTTCCACAGCTTCCATCATGCACCTCTGTGCCATCTCCCTGGACCGCTACATTGCAATAAAAAAACCAATCCAGGCCAGCCAGTACAATTCATGGGCTACAACAATCATCAAAATCATCGTGGTTTGGCTCATTTCAATAGGTATGTGAGACTGGAGACCAGAAATGGAACACAGGAGCTTTTCATGTCCAAAACAATAGCTGAAATGTGGGGGAAATGGAAAATTTGGCCAAGTACTATTGACTGGAGGACCATAACACTCAGGCTGGTCGAAGTTCACCTCTTGGATCATACACAGCTACATCATAAAAATCTGCCTGAACCACTGCTCCTTATTAGGCTCACCAGAAAGACCAAGAATTGAGTCAGAGTATTAATCATCACTCTTCTTCATGGTCCTAAAAGTTCAAAAATCAGAAAACAGTATCTGCATGCATAGTATGCCTCCTGGGAAAGCAAGATTTCATGTTCCTGTGGTGCTACATTTTGTCCCAAACACAACTTTAAGCCTTGATTAGATGTTGGTAAAATTCTGCATAAAGGAAGTACAAAAGGGTTAATTATTTATAGCAAAGATCTAAATCAGTGGCTGATAACATCCAGGCTAACACTGAAGGCTGACACAGCATATAGAAAGGTTAATGTCTAACAAAAAACCCCCAAACAATCAAAACAACAAACCCTGAACAGTTTATGTGAAGACGTTTATACCAACATACAAACTTCTATATCAGTGTCTCTGTGACGTGCACGTAGCACATCATCTGTCTTTAATGCTTAAAAAATGAATCTGTTAAATGAGCTAAGGAAGTGAAAATATTTAATTCAAATAATTTAATACATACTCCAGACAGCCTTAGTGCTGTATGCACTATGTGATAGACCAAACAAAATTATTCTGCATTATTAAGGCCAGTGATGCATAGGAGAATGGATACAGCCACCTTCTTGGCTAAGGCAAACCCCCAAATTTCTGAGTTGAAAAAAATTCTGGAAGAGCTGTAATGATAGGAGAAAAGATGCTATCTCTAGTCTATCACCAAGCCATCCCCCCCCAGAAAAGAAACAAACTTAGCATGACAAGACAGCCACAAGGTGACCTTTTAATGTGTGATTTATTGCCATTAAACAGCACTGTACTTTTCAATTTCTTTTTATCTAACATAAAACTACTCTGCAGCTGAGCCAGGTTCTCCAAATCAAAGGTTAATTTGGTTCAATCTTCATTTTATATGCTTGTTGTATCTGAAGGTGTGCTTCTAATTAAGAAAGGGATCAAGTTGCTGAAGGGTAAACCATTTTGCTCTTGTTGCTTTAAACCAACTTCAGTAAGCAGAGTAGCAGAGGAATACAGTAAATCCCTATATCTCATTAAGTGGTATCAGAAAACTGCACAAATCACCTTCACCAGACAGCAAGGAACCTGTTGTTTTTGTTGTAATGTCAGACTGCTGGCAAATGAAGTGCTGACTGTAATTTAGTGGTTATAAAAAATTCATTTAAAAGACAGGACTGTTAACATTTTTTTAAAACGAGTGGTGAATTACAGAGCTAGCCAGCCTCATTTAAACACTCCTAAATATGCAGGAGACTTTAAACAACAAATCCATCTCAAACACACACTGCATAATTCTGGCAACTATTTAGCTACTTGTATATATGAAAGAGTTGAGCAGAGTGAAAAAAATCAGCTGTCTGTGCCTAGTCACTTGATGTGGTTAACAGAAGACGGAAAGACACGATTTATGTGTTTACAAAACTGCCCTTCAAAAAGTGCAAAGGTTACCCTGGGGAAGAGAAAAAAAAAAGGGGGAGATGGCCTTAGGGAAACATATTTCACTGGAGGAAAAGCCATACTAATTCTAATAACCAGAGTCAAAGCAATTCATGTGTTTTACACTTGAAAAGTTGGCAACTTTATACTGCTTCCTCAATCACTACGAGTTAGGCCCAATCTCCTTAGAAAGGGCACTCTGTTAAAGCTCAGCCTGCCAAGTCTTACAAAGTACCATTTGCCCAATTACCCACGTGATGCTTTCCACACTTCACGTTGTGTTCCCCTGCCTGCTCCAGAGCTCAGGAATTACCTTTCTTTAGAAACCCCGAGGCTTCAGGCCCAGTGAAACGATTGCAAGTGATTAACCTCTGCTAAAGCACTTCTTTTTTCTCCTACAGGCATTGCAATTCCAGTCCCTATCAGAGGCATTGAGGATGGAAATGGCAACTCTACAAACATCACGTGTCTCCTGATGCCTGATCGTTTTCATGACTTTATTCTGTACGGATCAGTGGCTTCCTTCTTCATTCCCCTGGCTATCATGATCGTCACTTATTTACTGACAATCCAAGTGCTGCGCAAAAAGGCCTACTTGATCAACAAGCCGCCTCAGCGCTTCACCTGGTCAACAGTGTCCACAGTCTTTCAGCGTGACACAACACCTGCCTCCTCACCAGAAAAGGTGGCCATGCTAAATGGCTCCAGAAAGGACCAGACTTTGTCCAGTGACATGCCTATCTGCAGGGCATCCACGATTGGGAGGAAGTCCATGCAAACAATAACCAATGAACAAAGGGCGTCAAAAGTTCTGGGGATTGTGTTTTTTCTTTTCTTGCTGATGTGGTGCCCATTCTTCATAACAAACATCAGCTCGGTTCTGTGCAACTCCTGCAATGAGGAGGTTTTTCAAAAGCTTTTGGAGATATTTGTTTGGATAGGGTATGTATCCTCAGGAGTGAACCCTCTTGTGTATACACTCTTCAACAAAACATTTAGGGAGGCTTTCAGCAGGTACATCACTTGCAACTATCGGACCACAAAGCCTATCAAGGCCCTTCGGCAGCGCTCCAGCAGGATCTCTTTCAGAAGCTCTGTAGCAGAAAATTCCAAGCTCTTTGTCATGAATGGGATGAGAAATGGGATTAACCCCATTATGTACCAGAGCCCAATGAGGCTGAGGAGCTCACCCATCCAAGCATCATCGGCCATTCTGCTGGATACGTTGCTGCTCACCGAGAATGAGGTTGATAAAACAGAAGAACAAGTCAGCTATGTATAGTGGAATGGCAGCCATGTCCCTGCAGCATTACTGTATGTATTATTCTAGATAACTGCACTGTAAGAGGGTATAAATACTATTGTTTTCTGTTATTTATGCAAGCAATATCTTATAAATTTATATTAATTTCTCTCCTTCAAAGTCTCCTCTACTTTAAGCCCAACCCCATGGTGGCAACCACAACTTCATTCCATGACAAATGACTCATGCAGAACTGTAGCCTAAGGAAGAGGGAAATAAATAAAAGCTAAATCAGTTTAAGTATCTGACTTCAGTTCTCATCACCTTCAGTCTCTTCAAAGCACATCTTTATAAGAAAAGCATTTCTGTACAAACACTACTCTAACATTTGCTCTGGCAACAAGACAAAACTTTGTAGGCTCTACAATGGAAGTAGCAGAGGGATACAAGCTCACTGGTTTCAATTTAAATGTCTGTAAACAGATCAGCACACAAGCTCACTGTGTTCCCTCCTACAGATACATTCCTCTGCTGAGACTGAGTATCCACATAGGAGCTTTCCTTGCTCTCTAAGGGTGTGTAAAACACAAGCAGAATCACTCACTCTAGAGACCAATGTACAAGCCCATTCCATAAAGCATTATCAAAAATTCCATGTATGGAAATTATCCCTTTACTGTACAGATGGGCAGAATTTCACCCACTTGAATTTCATCTCCATTACATATGCACAAGCTCAGTGATGCCAGATTATTCACCAAAAACTGCCCTTTTTTCTTTGCATATTAAAAAAACCAAATTATTTAATCAAAATAACACAACACGCAATCAATGATCATAAGAAAAACAGGATACACAATGCCTGGAACATCCCTGTAATTTATATGAACAAGCTTCCTTTTTAATGACCATGGAAACTTCAGTGAAAGCCTCCCCTCATCCAATGTAGTTCACAGGAAGTAGAGAAATCACAGACAGAACAGCTACTTCACAAGAAAATAAGAGCAAATATTTAAGAGACAGCAGAGACAACAGTACTGGCTACACCTCACATATTCACAGTTTAGCTGAGCTCAAATTTATTTAATTGGACTAATGGCCAACTACAGGTCCCAATTTGCACTCTCTCAAACATGTTCAAGACTTTAGTATAAACACAGAATTAACAGAAATAATTGGTCTTCACAATCCATAAAAGCTGCCAGAGTCTGTAATTTGGGAAATCAGAAACTTCTGACAGCTCCAGACTCTTTGGGAAAAGAAATCTGATTTCCCCAAAGTACTGGAGTTTTTACATCAAGCAGCCAGCTCACCAATTTTTCCATAGTTTCCATTTACAGTAAAATTTTCAGCTCGGGCTTTGTTTTCATTTTTAATATTTTCAGCATTCTTTGGTTACACTAAAATTATGTACAGCAAAAGGCTTAGGCTTTTTTCATCTGCAGAACAGAAAGTACTAAAGTTAACATGTCCCTCCAACATTTATTTATATATATTTAATTTAAAACATATGCAAGTTCAAAACAAAACCTACTGTAAAAACTGCCAGAGATTTTCAGGCAAAAGCATTAAAAATACATCTGGAGTACTTGCAGTAAGTTGTCTTCTTCTTCCCAATTTTGGTGATAATCACCAGTCACTTAAATCAGAGTAAATTCTAACTGCTCTCCTTCCTCTTCACTTAATCAAAATTTGTTTAAGAGTATTCTGTAGTTAAGAGCCAGAATGGATGGACTGTGATAGCTGTAAAAGACACTTTCATGAGCAGTAACACCAAAAGGCAAACACCATTCCTGAGGGGCTATTGCCCAGCAGTCAGAAAGCAAGAAGCAGTCATCTTTGAAAACTCTCTCGATACTTAAATAAATCCATGTTAATTAAACAAAAAAATGCTCATATAGCAGGCAGCAATCACCTACTTTGAGCAGCAACTTATATTTTCCTTTTCCAGCAGAAACATCACAGCTGGCTCACAGCACATACTAAAACTGAGAAGTAACTCAGCTCTTTTCTGTCTGACCCTGTTCTTGTATAGCTGTCAGGTCTGCAATCTGTCTTACAGAAGCAGTAATTTGCCCTAAATGTCCCACAGAGAAAGATTCCAAGGCCTCTTTGCAATCAGTGCTTAGACCTCCACCAACAGGAAATCATCCTTAAAAAAGTCTCACCCAACAGAGATGTATTTTCTCAAGCCAGTATACAGGTTTCTCAATTTTAGTAACTGTAAACAGAAGCTCAGCAAGTTCTGGTTACTGAGTTCAGTAACAACAAACCTCAATCTAAAGGACTAGTGATTAATAAAAAATCCAGTCTACAGGGAAAGAAAATTTCTCCACAGACAGAAACACATCACTCCATGCTTCCACTTTCCAAGTGGAAAACATTCCACTTCACATGCTAAGTGCAAGAAGATATTGCTCAGAGCTTGTCCACTTGCAAAGCAAACAAGCTGAGAATTCAGGTAACAGCCTTGGAAAGCAGGACAGGGCAAGAAAAAAAGATGAAGATGCAGAACTATGAAATAAAACAATATAATGGACTGCAGAGTTCTTGTTTTAGCAACGGTATCTACAGGAACAGCTTTGAACAAAGACATCACCTTCATTAGTAAGACATGATGGAAGAGTCACTGCAAGCTCCTGTAAGAAAGCACCAGTTTGTTGTATGGTAACTACAGACAACACTGCTCTTGTGGCATCAACAAGCACAACAGGAGGCTCAGGACTACATCCATGAGTATTGTCTTTAGATAACACCAATTCATAAAACATATTTTTATATGCTGTCTGCAAAGTGAGAGTATTTTCATAGCATTATAATATTTTACAGCTTTTTTCATAAAGATAGCAGGATAATAACTGATAAAGCTTTGCAGTCATTTGGCTGTAGAACAAAAGACATTTCTATAGAAGGAAGGGTCATGCACTTTCCCCTTAACACACACAAATGAAAAAAGGGATTCCTTTCTCTGGAGCAAAATGCTGCCAGTTCTTTCAAAATCTGACCCACAGCGAATCAGCCACCTGGTCAGCTCTACAGTCTCAATACAAGAACAGCTCCAAGTTATTATCGTATAGAGGCAATAAAATAACAAAATAATAAAGTCCATAAAAGAATAACTTAGAGATACCGAGTTCAATTTTTCTCATTATCACAAAGACCTTTATCTGGCATATTTAATTTCTTTTTAAACTTCCAAAAAGCAAGACAAAAGTCAAAACTGGTCTGCAACATCCAAGCACTATAGGAAGAACACTTTCAAAGAACAATGGACAAGTATGGTGGTTGTTTTTTTGTCTAATTATTTAAAATACATTAGGAGACATTCAATATTCTGTCTGCCTAGCTAATTAAAAATTACAGCATAGATATACACATAAGGACTCAGCAGACTTGCAGAGAGGAAAATAATTGAGTTTGAAGCCTAACAGAATAAGTGTCTTGAAATGCAAATAAAGGGATCACTTTACAAAAAAACTAAACAAAAAAGCCACAAAATACACACGAAACAGAAATTAACCAAAAAATATCCCTACCTTTAATTCACTCAGAAACAGAGAAGCAAGAAATTCAGCTAATCCCAGCTATAGTGATGTGGCATAAAATGTATTTTGTGAAGTCGGTCCTGAACCATCTAGAAGCTGCAGGCCTTTAGCTACCAGGAAACTTACAAGCAGCTAGAAAAAAGTATTATTTATCTTATATCCCACAAGTAAAAAACTCTTCCTGACTACATCACACTAGACCATACTAGCATCAATTTTCAAATGCAAATACAGTTAAAATCAAGTGTAAAGCAGAAGGCACTGAGAAGAGGCTGATCCTACAAGCTGGTGCTGTATCACCTGCACACAAGAGGCACATAGGATTTTTTTACAATGTTTCACAGAAAGTCCTGCTTTTCTACACTGTTACCATATTGTGGAAACATCCCCATCACTGCAAGCTGGTAAAAGAAAACAAAAACATAACTCCCCTAAATCTTTTTCTAGGCTGCTGTACGTTACATCAGACTTAAAAAGAAAAGCAGTGTAAGCAGAGTAAACATGGCAAAGGCATGCTGAACAACCTGGGACATTGGAACCCAGAGAGGCAAAATATTGCCAGAATTCTGTTGGCTTTTTACCTTGCTAGCTGGAGCCAAGAGTCCCAGAGTTCTGGCCAGTTCTCAGCACTGACTTAATATTACCATGAAGCGTTAGACTTTTTTCTTCATATTGATAAAGATGCCCATGTACAACTGCTCAGAAGCCCTCCTTTGTTTCACTTCCCCTTTGGCTCTCTAGACAACCATTAACATGGCAAAAACAACAGTCAGGAGACGTGCATAATTTTGCCTTGGCATAATAATAACATGGTGTTTACTATCAGTGTCCATTCCCATGAAAAACAATGTTTTTTCCAGTGGAAAAGGAAGACTTCTGCCCTGCAGAGGAGAGGAAGCCATTTTATTTTACAGTGGGAAGCTAGGTACAAAAATAGGAAAGATGGCTTGCTAGAAGTGCCCATTTTTACTCTTATGTTTAATAATTCATGTCAACCCTATTTGTCAAGCCACAGCTACAATTCCTTGCATCCAGGTATTGAGAACCTTTCCAACCTCTGAAAAACATCACACTCTTAAAAATTAAAGCGCTTTTTATTCTCTAAAGGATCCTCTTTACAAATGCTCTACACAAGTAATGGCAACTCATTTTCAAATTCATTAAACCCTGCACAACTTCAGTGAAAGTCTAAGCTTCTTCTGATTATAGTAAGATTTCTGCTACTGCTTCTATGAAAGGGACCTTCATTCTCCTCTACAAGGAAGACTGAAAATGACAAGATAAAATGTGCTGGATTGTAAACAAAACCCTTTTAATCTTTCCTATGCAAGAATTACCAAGCAGCTACATTTCACTAAATTCCTCTTCACAGTTAAAACACTGAAAAAGTCACTGGTGCAGATCACATTAGAGTGACTGTCTAACCTACTGAAAGGTAGGTTAGAAGATATAAAGAAAACAAACTGTCCCAGTCTTCCTGGAATAAAATCCAAGTATCTGATCTGTTTGCCTTATAACAAATATACAGCCTTGAAATACCAAAGGCTATGTAAACACAAAGCATACAAAAGCAGGAAACATTACTATTTCACTGGCATCATCCTGAAATTAAAAATTGAACAGAAGCCATCCAGAGTTCTTCATGTTTGGGTAGCCTACACTTATCTGAGACTACATCTTCCTTTTGGGACTCTCTAGAGGCTGCATTGTTCCCTCTCCTGCCCTCAGCCTTTTCCCAACAG